GTGTTGCTTGCCAACCAACAGACTTTTGCACCCTTCTTTGAAGCAGCATTTGAGCATACGATGTTAGTACAGTAGTCGAACTCCCTGAAAAATAAATATGGTTATACAAGGTTGTTGTACTGGTTATTTAATATTTTTATATTGCACCCGAGAATTTACCTGCCATTATACTTCGTTCAACAAAAGTATTTTGCATGTACTCACGCATTCCCTCGTATGGGACGCTCACCTTGCGGCGGAATATGACCAGTGTTTCTTCGCCTACCCGGCTGACATATCTCCATTATGGGTGGCTTCACAATCATCAAATCATCGGGGATCTCCCACTCAGATGGACTTGGTAAGGGGTTCATAGACTCCTCTTAAGTTTTCCTAAGCGTCTCTGTAAAGTAAGCTTTTAAAGCAAATTCCGAACAGTCTTCGTAACGGTTCATTGTGAGCACTTTTATGACATGGCCACAAGGTAAGCCATCTATTTGCCACCGCCTCCATGTAAAGGTTCTTTGTTGGAAATCAACAATGACACTTTTGTGAGTAGAGCTTTTCACTTCAAATCTACTATTTGAGATAGGATACACCATCCAATTATTACAAGCATTCTTATTTGCTTCTATAATCGTTTCAGCCCATGGGGTGAGTGTTGTTTTTGCTTCAGCTAAAAAAATAGACATAATTTCATAATATCATATGAGTAGTAAAATAACATTTCAAGTACTATTATATATAAAATATTAGTACCTGCAACATTACGTTTCTGAAAACTCCATTGCTGCATTGTTGCACGGAAATACTCAATCAACATCAATATTGGCATCTTTCTTGCAAATCTTGACATTGAATTTATCGACTCTGCACTATTTGATGTCATAAGAAAATACCGATTCCCAGGAAAATGTACCCTGGCCCATCTTTCTGCATTGATGTTTTGTAGGTATTCCCATACACGATCATTTACCTTTTTAATTTTTTTCATCTCATTATCGAATTTTTTAATAGTATAGGCTTTGCATGTTTCCCAAAATAATGTGTGTATTGTATCGCTGCTTCCAAATTTTGCTGAAATGTTGAAATACAAATGGATACCACATATTCCATGATGGGCGTGAGGAAATATATTTGTAATTGACGTCGCTATGGATGGAGCCCTATCAAATATAAATGTAAGGTCTTCCACGTTGCCTATACATTCACGTACTTTTCGAAGGAACCAGGACCATGTCTCCGTACATTCACTTTTGCATATGGCATAAGCAACAGGCATGATTTGGTTTTGACCGTCCATTCTCATTGCGAGCAACATCATACCCTTGAATTCACCCTTTAGGTGACCACCATCAATTATTAGGGTCGGCCTACAATATTTGATGAACGCTTGTACCTACAATTATTTTTGATGGCATTGACAAATACCAATTAGGATTCATATGTTATATTTGTTATAACAAATTATCACTGCTTACTGAGCAACCCAGCGCGATATACACGAACTCAAACCGATCATCATCATTTGTTCTTATCCGAGTAACAGTTCCTGGATTATGCTTGACCAAGTTGTGCAGATATGCTGGTAGTTTGGTGAATGAATCCTTTTTGGTACGTCTTAACATCAACAACGAATATTGTTTTTCCCGCCATGCATGTTGGTATGAGATATTGATTGGAAATTTCGAATTGATGTCCCTCACAATTTCATTACCCCGATAAACTCTATTATAATCTCTGGCCAATACTTCAGCGATAAAGTGGCCGAGTACCTTTTTCTTTGAATGTCGATGATTAGACTCTAAGTTTGTTGCACAACAAGTGTGTTGGTCAACAACTTTTGTGACTTGGAAAGCAGTAGTCGATTTGATTCCCCTTGCCCTAACCATCCAAGAATAATTTTCTACCAAACAAACCACCTCGAACCTTTCTTTGCTCGATCTGGTAGTATTATACTACTTACCTTGTTCCATGCATTGTCTTCCAATTGCAAGCTTGAGCAACTCTTTGTCATCAAAAATGTCTAGAACCTTAATCTCTTTATTTATATCTACCCTCTGACATGGAATGTTCACATCATCGTTTACAGGACACGAAGGCAATGGGGGCATAAGATGAAACATGGTATCTGAATAAATAATTTTAGGTTCATCATCAAATTCTTCTCCATTAGAATCACTCTCTAGGCCGGATATATCCAACTTGTCACAATCCGCAAACTCGCCATATCCTTTTAGTTCAACATCATGCAAAAATGGAACTTCTTGTTTTCCAGATTCATTACCAACCCTATTCACCACGTCTAGTGCTTTTTTGGTCAAAGTAATGATTTACACTAACATCATTAACATATGTACCAACATCATTATCACCGATATACTTATAATTCTCCGGTGTAACATACATAATCGGTTCTGGCACTATAGGCACTACATTTACATTTTCAGCGACACTATGATATTGACTATTACTTGGACTTTTAAAATTACCTATTGGGTTGTTGATCCCTTTTCCACTTGATAAATTAGCTGCAGATGTCTTTCCTCTATCATCCACTTCGTTACGCGAAACGCCTTCTTCAACCACCACATAGACAGACACAGATTTATCTCCAACGACATTTATTACCTTGATCACCTTTCTGATATCACGATCATTAACAATACCACAATAATAGAGTTGTTCTGGATGTTGATAAGCCATACTGACTTTTGATTCTTCGGGAAGACCCATCTTGCACTTCACCAAATGAACAAATTCGGTGAACGTGGTGGTTTCGTAAAATTCAACACCTAAATAAAACATTCTCGGATTGTATTCGGGTGGCCAAACATATGATAATTGGGAATTAACAAACTCCCATCTTCCATCCGTAATGAGCAATACGAAATACTCGTTACAACTCATTATGTTAATTTTGAGAATAAAGAAGCTAGAGAGAAGTGTAGTTTTCAAAATACGAAATAATTTCAATAATATGAAATACTTAATATATATATAGGGTAGGTTCAAAAACAGTAGTCCACTCTGACAAAAAAGTAGTCAAGTTTCACAAAACAGTAGTCCATTCTGACAGAAAAGTAGTCAAGTTTAACAAAACAGTAGTCCGTTCTGACAAAAAATTAGTCAAGTTTAGCAAAACATTACACAACTCTGACAAAAAAAGTAGTCAAGTTTAACAAAAAAAGTAGTCAAGTTTACCAAAAAAATCAGTCAACAAATTCAGAAAATAATCTACAATTGAGCAAAAAATTATTGTATTAATTCTTAAAAAACTAGTTTATATTTTACAAAAAATATTTTTTAACAAAATAATTGTCAAAAAAAAAGTCTACATTTTATAAACAATATAATTGTTAAAATAATTTTATATCTTATAAACACTCTTTTTAATACTCTATATCACAAAAAAAATACGGTTTTTTTTTATTTTTTTATTTTTTTTATTTTTAATTTTTTTAAAGTCTACTGTTTTGAATTCTCAAAAATTTTTAGCAAAATAATTGTTAAAATAATTCTACATGTTATAAACACTCTTTTTAATACTCTATATCACAATAATAATAATAATAATAATAATAATAATAATAATAATTAAACCGTAACTTTTTTGACAAAACAGTAGATTAAACCCCAAAACAGTAGACTTTTAAAAAAAAATTAAAAAAAAAAACGTATTTTTTTCCCAAAACCATAGGCTACGATTTGGGAAACCGTAGGCTACGGTTTGGGAAACCGTAGTAAAACCGAGAGGAAACCGTAGGTTTTAAAAAACCAATGGTTTTATATCTTAGAAATGAAAAAAAAAAGTATACAAAACACGAAACAGTAGACGAATTGACGAAACAATAGACGAATATAGAAATCTACGGTTTCGTGGGCTATATTTGGATATTTACTAATTTTTGGCTAAAAATTGTTAATCACTTCCTTAATTTGGCTAGATTAGTAATTGTCCCTTATAAAATAGATATCAATAGTAAGTGTTTAAAATTTAATTTCATTTCATGTTCTCTTGCCTCGGCTACTTCTTAGCTTTTTAAGCCCTCCACTTATGCTTAGGCACATACCATCATTGGCCTTGGCTAGGGCAATTACCATCTCTGTCTTTGACTTTGCTTATAAATTTATTACAAAATATAAAAACTCGTCATGAACAATTGTACGAGATTGATTATTTTTTTTATAACTAGCTTTCATTTTTAATATTAAAGTTATACTTATAGATGATATTATTGACAACATACCACGATAATCAAACTTTTTAAATCCATTTATGTGTGGTCTTGGTTAAGTTGAATATACATGTATGTAATTCATTGTTGATAGGTTGTAAGCAAATTTTCACACATGTTTGACTTGTTTCCTTTATAGTATAATTTTAATCTTAAATGTTAGATATATAAAAACAAAATAAATTTGATCATTATATAAGTTTTTTTATAGGACGAAGATACATTTAAGTTTACTCTTAAATTATATAATTGTTTTGAGATAAGACTTAAACTATCAATCATTTTGAAGGTGCTTTGGTTACTATTATAGAAGTGCTCAACTCCTTAGGCTATAATTGTTTTATAAATTAATTTTGGAATTAAGGTATTGGACCGAAAATGTAAAATTAGAAAACAAATGGAATAAACCGGAGATCCAAAGATTGTTAAAGGGCAACACTGCCCTTGGCTTTGACTCCTTCGCTCCAGAATCCAGTTGTGAAATGTGAAACCTCGAGCCCTATCCCCCATCCTAGCTACCCCATGTCCATAAATTCTTCCTCGTTGCTTTTCAATATAAACCCAAGAACAAACTTAATTATATATTCATTTCAATCCATCTATCTGTTCTTGGGTTCATTTAGAAATTCATACTTCCACAATCTTTTTACAGCTTCATTCACGTACAATCTTACACCATTTCGCTTACGTTTCTGTCGACTGTCATCATACGTCAGATTCAAAAAGGGTATTCTTGGATTTGACTATTTTTTTGTACTTATCGATCAAGATTATAACTTAATCATGTCAAGATTGAGAAGAAGAGAGCCTGTGAAGGTGGTGATTATCAACACCGAGTATATTGAGACAGACGCCATGAGCTTTAAGTCTGTCGTTCAACGTCTCACCGGAAAAGATACTCCCTCCCCATCTCCCAACAATAGCTTATCACACGCTGGTGGTGGTGGTGGTGGTGTGAAGTCGCCTGTGTTGAAGAAAGGGATGTCGTTTAGAGACCTGGATAACTTGCTGTTGGAGCTCCCTTCCATGGATGATATTTATCGGTTTTGCTCTGAGTAATATTCATTAAATATATAACTAATTGCTTTCCTTTTTTTCCTCATTGTGAAATTTATAAAATACTGTTATACATAAATAAACTCCCATACTTGCATATTCATATATTTCATCTCCTTTCTTCATATATATCTTTATCTTTTTAACGATATATAACACAAGAAAAGATTTAACCCTAAAACAAATTTAATATTAGTTTAATACATTTCTATTGAAAATTTAGAATAAATACTTATTTTTAGAAATTTTTATTGTCGTTATATAACTTGTAGTTACGAAAATGGTTACGTGTGTGTATACCAATCATGTGTTTATGGTATTTCGTTGATGTCAATTGAACATATAAATAAATAAATAAATCAAGGTTGTTGTTTGGTGCTGTATATCATATTACCTCTATTGTAATCTTATTTATATAATATTATCTTCACAAAACTAGTCAACTTACAACAGTTGATCTAAGTTTCTTTAATTCAAACTGTCGATGTCATATGTTGTTAGGTTGGAAGGATTGTAAAGAAACCTTGATGATGGGCGATAGAAATTGATTGTGATAATGAAGTTGATGATCTTGTATCTGTGACTGTTTTGTTTGCACCACACGTCCATGATCTTGCGGCCATCAATACGAACACGACGTGGTTCATGTCTAGACAGATCTAACATGGTCTTACTTCTAGCAAACAGTTCGATCTTGTCATGTTAGTTTTTGACAAATTTGATTCAGCTTTTAAAGTATGAATTTTGTCGAATCTAATTGGGCTTTTGGGCCCTTAAGTTGAGCCCGTTGTTGCTAGACACACACACACACCAAAAATCCAGATGGTTACACGTTATACTTAGAAACATCCCAAAGTTATCAGAAAATGGTACTAACAGTTAAAAAGTGTATCTAGGCATGTAGCGCAAGATCTTATTTTTAAAATTAGACTCCCATCAGCAGGAGACGAAATATTAATTAATTATTAAATAACCCCACAACAGAAATGTACAACAGTACTATCAATTGGTCCATTACATGTCACTTTTGAGTTTAAACATGGTCTATACGCCATATATGAATTATGTAAGATTCAAGCCAATTTTGGTTAAGCCCATTAGGTGAAGCTTCTTGAGATAAATATTACATCCTTCATGGGAAAAAAAACCGGGCCCTCAACGGTTCCTCTCTAAAAAAGTCGAAGACCGAACCAATCTTGGACCAAAGAATCTCAAGGCGGTCCAGAGTTGATCCCCAATTTTAGTGAACCACGATCTGTCTGGGGTCCGACCAATCTTAATCTCGAACCAGTCTTTAAAAAATTAATTGAAACGGTACTTGCCACCGGTTTCAGCAACCTAAAAATCAGGAAAAATAAAAATTAGGAAAAAAAAGTGTAACTTGGAGTCCTATCGAGTCTAAGATGGTCATTGCCTTGTAAGCTTCAAAACTTCTAGTTTTATTACCATAATCCTCAAAGATTTTTCTTCCCTAAGTCGATGTAGGATGCTCCCCATCTTTGACTTGTTGTACTTCAAGCCTTCTAAAAATAAAAACCATTTTTTTTCATTTCTTTTTTTATATTTATAAAAGTTAAACTAGTCTTTTTTTATTTCTTCTTTACTATCCTTGATAGTTTAAAAGTTACATAACTTAGTGAATAGGGATGGAAAAAAAATCCATATATTCGATGGGGAACTCGAAACCTGCATCCGGTTTGACTGAGATATAGACGAGGATGAAAAATCCCCAAATAAAAAAGCGGGGATGAGAATGGGGACACACAACATCAGAATGGATCTTCGCTTTGAGCGCAAAGAATATGTCCTTGAGGAGAAACTCGTTGAAGTCGATGAAAACACTGCTACTCCTAAACAACTAGTCTCCTACAAAAAATACTACAACGATGCAACAAAAGTTGCTTGCATCATGGTCGCCACAATGAATCCTAAATTGCAGAGGTTCTATGAGGACTACTGTCCATTTGAGATGAACCATGACCTGGTGGAAAAGTACCACAAGAGACCTCGTAAAGAAAAAGGTTGAAGTGGTCAAGTCTCTCATGGCTTGCAAGATGAACGAGGGAGAGTTTGTCTGCAACCACGTGCAGAGAATGCAAAGATACACGGAGGGCCTTGTTAAGCTCAATGTGCACTTTGACGAGGAGTTGGCCATAGACATAGTCTTAAACACTTTTCCAAGTTGTTATGATCACTTTATATTAGCTTATCATTTGAACAACATAGAGACCACATTTTCTCAACTCCACAACTTCCTACAGACTGTTGAGTTGAAATGAAAGGCAAGAGTCAAGCCCCAACCACTATTGCTAGTGCTCCCGTTCTCGCCATTGGTAAAGGCAAAGGGAAGAAGAGAAAGGCTACTCCTAATGCTAACTAGAAGATAATGCCCAAGTTGGGTCTTCAAGCAATGGGCCAAAGGCAAAGCCCAACTTGTACATTCCAGTTGTTAATGACCCCAAAGAGGCCACTTGTTACTATTGCAATGAGAAGGGCCATTGGAAGATGAGATGCCCCAAATACTTGCAAGACATCAAGGATGGCAAGGTGAAGCCATCGTCAGCAGGTATATACACTATTTAAACTAATAACTCAACGTCTACTCATTCTTGGGTCCTTGATACAGGATGTGGATTTCACATCTGTTCTGATTTGTAGGGGCTAAAAGAAAGTGAGGCGGTGGAGCATGGGAAGATGAATCTGATCATGGAAAATAGGCAATCTTCTCCTGTTACCAAGATTAGGATTATCAGCTCATGCGTATTAGTGATGTTAGAATTAGTTTAATTGATTGATGCTACTCGTCAGGAATGACACGAAACATTATTTCTTTTCATGCATTGTTTAGACAAGGTTTTCGCTACTATTTTGATGATTTGAATGATTCAATTCTAGTTTATAAAAATGGTGGTTTATATTTGAAGCTTTACCTTGTAATGACGTGTATGAAACTGTGACTTTGGTTGATAGCTTAGGCAATAGTGTATTTCACATTGATTCGACTAATGGATTAGCAAGGCATGCTTGTGGCATTGTCGTCTTGGGTACATTGACAAGAAACGCATCGCCCAACTCCAAAAGGATGGAGTGTTGGAATCATTTGACCCTAGGCCAGATGATGAATGTGAATCTTGTCTTTTGGGCAAGATGAGAAAATCACATATCACTGGATCTTGTGAAAGAGGTTCAGGTTTGTTGGACCTCATACATACAAATGTATGGACCCTTCAGATCCACCACAAGAGATGCCAATCGGTTTTATGTAACGTTTACGGATGATTATAATAGATATGGCTATATTTACTTAATCAAACATAAATAAAAAACCTTTGAAAAAGTTCAAGAGTTTAAACATGAAGTCGAGAATCAATTAGGAAAAAAGATAAAGATGCTCTGATCGGATAGAGGAGGAGAGTATCTTAGTATCGAGCTCCATGACTACCTTAAGGAATATTGAGTTATTTCACAATTGACTCCTATTAGGAGCTTAATGGTGTGACTGAGAGGTGCAATCGGACCTTGTTGGACATGGTTCGTTCCATGACGAGTCAAGCCATTTTTCCCATTTCCTTCTGGCGTATGCTTTAGAGACGGCTACCCACATCCTCAAACTTGTCCCTACTAAAAAGTTGCCAAAACACCTCACGAAATGTGGACAGGGAAAGTTCCATCATTAGCACATATCAAAGTTTGGGGTTGTGAAGCTTTCGTTAGAAGAGAGACTCATGACAAGTTAAAACCTAGAAATGAGAGGTGCATTTTCATTGGTTACCCACAAAAGTCCTTTGGATATTTGTTCTATAGGCCTAGTGAGAATATGGTCTTTGTAGCACGAAGAGGAGTCTTTCACGAGAGAGAGCTCATATGCAGAAAGGACAATGGGAGCACAATTGGCCTTGAATATATTTAAGAGTCAACCAATGAAGGCACATTAGAAAACGCTAGCACTCAACCAGAGGAAGAAATTCCAATTGAGCCCATTGATAATTCATTACCTCTTTGTTGTTCCAGTAGAGTTAGCATGCCACCTGAGTTCTATGGTTTCCATATAACTGCAGAAGGTGATACGTTTATCAGTGATCAAACACTGGTAAATTCGAGTGAGCCAGCTAACTACAAGGAAGCAATGGCATGCCTTGAGGCAACCAAATGGAAAGAGGAAATGGATAACGATATCAAGTCCATGTACGATAACCAAGTTTGGAATCTGGATCATCAAGAACCTGGTTGAAAGACAGTTGGTTGCAAATGGATCTTCAAGAAGAAGACATGGAAATGTGCACACATTCAAGGCACGACTGGTTGCGAAGGGCTTTACTCAAACCCTAGGGATTGACTACGATGAGACCTTATCACTAGTGACTAAGATAAAATTTATTAGGATATTTCTCACCATAGACGCTTTTCATAATTATGAAATTTGGCAAATGGATATTAAAACCATTTTCCTTAATGGGAAGTTGGCTGAGGATGTTTACATGACTCAGCCAGAGGGTTTTCTTGATCCAAAGTTTCCCAACATAGTGTGTAAGCTTGAGAAATCCAATTATGGATTGAAACAAGCATCTCGCAGGTGGAATATTTGCTTCCATGAAAAAGTCAAAGAATTTGGTTTCTATAGAAGTGAGGATGTCATGTGTATATGTCAAAGCTAGTGGGAGTATAGTAACATTTCTAGTGTTGTATGTTGATGACATACTACTTATAGGAAACGACGTCCCAACCTTGCAAGAAGTAAAATCTTGGCTTGGAAAGTGTTTTTCTATGAAGGATCTAGGTGCGGCTGCCTATATTCTTGGGATAAGGATTTTAAGAGATAAAAAGAGAAGACTAATTGGACTTAGTCAAATTACATACTTGGACAAGGTACTAAAACGGTTTAGTATGGAAAATTCCAAGAAAGGAGAGTTACCTGTTCCGAGCAATGCCAAATTGAGTAAGACTTAAAGCCCAAGTACAAATGAAGAGATAGTTGATATGAGTCGAGTCCCTTATTCTTCGGT